AATTAGATTCATTTTTCAAAGTTTCTCCATAATTCAGTGTGTGAGGTGTAAACAGAGTGATTCGGAGTGGTTTGGTGTGAAATGGTTCAGATGTCTTTACAGTGGTGGTGATAGGAACCAGGGGTCGCCATGACTACAACACAAATATAGACATTTTATTTACTGTCCAGAACCACCACTGAACCTACACGAGTCTATTGAGTTTATATGGAATGTTGATGATGGAAAATAGTGGAAAATCTGAAATAATAAGTTTTCTTTGGGGACTATTTTGCCTCACAGCGCCCTGCATGTATCCCTCCACCATGAATGGAGTTTAAGTTCTCTAAACTATCATAAAACAGTGTCTCAGTCATCAGGCAGTGAATTCCTAACCATTTCATGTAGGAACTTTCTGTGAGGGAGCTTTTAGAGGTGGACGTCTGGTTCCTATCACCACCACTGTGAACAGTTCTGACTCAGTAAGTTTCTAGAACAGAGCGTTTCACACCAAACCACTCTGAACGACTCTGTTTACATCTTAACCCCTTTATTATGCAGAAATTTAGAAAATGTGATGGACTTCCCCTTTAGATGCTTGCTAATATAAAGTATAACCTCCTTTCTATTTCCGTAAAACAGTCCCGTATGTCGAACTGGGCCACATTTTTGTCATAGCTACTTATATGACGTATTTAACATCTGAATATCTTTCTAAAAGAAGCAAATTTTGGGATTTGTTTCCAAACTCAGTCTTCTCCGTGTACCCCTGCTGAGCAGCACGATATCAGTGGCCTAAACAGCTTCAGTTAGCGCAAACACCAAAGCCTCTTCTCTTCAAACTGCTGTCAGACATGTCAATCTGAAAGCATCGCCTGAGACGAGTCTGTGCAGAGCAAAGAGGCCTTTTAGAAAATAAAGCAGATCTGATGTAATAAAGTTTCGGGCAGCCCTGCAACCCCACCTACCACCGCAGTACGTCTTCGATTGCAGAGTAAGGGAGCGCATCGTCATGAGGCAACCCACAGACCTGTCAATCATCGCAATAATCTCTTCAGAGGCGAACCGAACGCAGGCCCAGGTGCACAGGCCGCACTGCTGATCTGTTTGCCAGCGCAGGCTCCTTCAGCCATTAAGCCTGCTTACTCAACTGATGGAAACGATACATTTGATCTGCACATTAGAAAAACGGATTACAGTGACTACCAAAGCCAAAGAGAGGATCTCGGCTGTAATCTATTCATGTATCATCTGTGTTTATTCGAGACTTGAAGAGCTCCCTCCCCCCGACAAATCGCCCTTTCTCAACAAAGGCCACCTGTCTCCTCCGCTCACTCCACAGTGGTGCTGCTGAAGAATTGGTCTCAAGTAGCGTTTCTCTTTCTTCCGTCTCCATAGGCTTTAATTATTGCTTTACACTCTATTTATGTTTTCCTTTTCCACACTGAAAGTACTGTGGGGTGTTCGAATCGCCCTGAAAACCTTTCCATTTGTCAGCTGAAGCAATAACCAAAACAATTCTAAGTAAAAAAAGGTCTTGGCTGGAACATTTGGCATTTGGCACACTCTAAATCGAGATCCACAAAGCCCAAAGCCTCTTCCTAACACACAGGACGTGGCTTAAGATCCGTCCCAAGCACTACACTGTCAGGAAACAAGGTGCTGCGCGGGTCCATTATGGCTCATTAAGGTACCAACAAAGTAAATCAAAAGGTACAACAGCGATTTTAAGGCCCAACTGTGCACCTTAAATATGTTCTCCCCAGGGGAAAGGTGTGTAATTAGACCTTTAAATAACCCAAAGGTTTAAAACAGAACAATTAATGTATACATGTGTAGATAAAAATGCTGGAGGCGAGACACGAGACGCGGAGCTAACGCAATGTAAGACTATTTTGCTGCTATTCCACCACATGGTATGTCTGAACTCGACTCAACTCACTTTCGGTACCAGCTGCTTCTTTTTCCACTGTAGATATAGCGCCCCCTCAATGTAGCTGGTCATCATAGCGATGCCGCATGGAACTGCTGTGACATAAGGAGACAAACTTTGCTCAAAAGTGGCTGATGTTCAGAGTTGAGACAACGAGACGATTCTGGTTGCTCAAAGGAGATGCAAGAGGCTACGCTAACGGGCTCCCAAGTGGTGCGACCGTCTAAGCGTTAGTCCCATCACCAGCAGATAACGAGTTTGATCCCTGGTGATGCTACAGCCGTCCGTGGCCGGGAGTCCAAGAAAGCACAGTTGTCCTCACTCTTTCTGTGTGGGTAAGGATGGCCCCCCTCTACCCCTCATCACTCAGCGCGATGCTGTGCTAGCCAGCGCAGGCGTCTGTTAGCTGACGTAGCAGAACTGGCAGTTTATGTTCTCCTCCAAGCGCGTTCGGCTGTACAATGACGTTGTGTTAGCTGCAGTTTGAAAAGATGCAGCTCTGCTGATCGTTCAACACAGTTTAACAATAAATGGTCTTAAACTCTGGAGTTAATGCAGAACTGCTGATTCACCCTTTAACCCTGAAGATCAGCGCAGACTGCTGGCAGACAACAATCTTGTCTAGATAGCAGCCAACGAAACGGCAAAGAGAGAGATTTAAGATGAACATCGAAAATTTGGAGATGAATGGACTTATTTGCGTTTATAATCACTCCAGCTGGTTTCCTGACACGTTTAACCTCCATTCTAACGGTGCAACAGTTACATTCTGGCACCTCAGGCACCATCTAAGGTGGAACGAGAGAATTCAAACAAGAAGCTGGCGAATGAGAAGCGACTTCAGTCTTGTACAAAGTCGAACGCTGGGAGACATTTTACAAGAAACTGTTCTACTTCTGAGGAAAAGTTCTGCTGGAGATGCGAGAAAAGCGGTTATAGCTGAGCTAAAGATTAAAGCAGAGCAAAGTAAGTCTGTGTTTTCATTCATATTATATTTTATACTAGTACATCAGCACATACTGAGACATATTTACAGCCAAGATGGTAAAATGGACATAAAATGTTGTGGCTCCCAAGGTGGTTTGATTTTTGTTGAAAGGACAAAATGTTTCTTCTTAACATTCGGGTTGCGCCCCCTGGTTTAGGATGATAGTGAGTGATAGTGAATTCTCTCTCTCTCTCCAATCAGCGGTCTTCAGTTTTTCTGTGTCACCTTTTGGTATCAGCTCAGCTCGCTTGGAACCTCAACAGGAGGTGACACCAAAATTTGCACCTAATGGAGACCCAAAAAAGGCGAGTCAAGTCAAGTCAAGCTAGTGCCATCCAGTGGAAAAGCGGTTTATAACTGCAATGGATTCTGGTACAGTTACGTTCCCTAACTAAAGGTGAACACATTTCCTTGAGGGTTCCACCACACTGAGAGTTAAGTACCTTTTATTCTGAGAGTGTATGGTAGAGAAATGTGCCTATAACTTTTATTTCTGTTAATATTTCATCAAGCCTCACTGCCATTTTAAGGAATAAAATCTGTTCAGGAGTTCTTTTTTTTGATGAGGTCAGGTTTTGGCTTGACTTCTGCAAGCTGACCGGTCCCCGCACTGATCGTTATCTAGAATCGCTCAGTAAGTAGGACAGGAAAAGCACTTCTGTCTCTTTTGTTGATCCCCACAATCTCACTTGGCTCCTTCTCACATAAACAGTGCCTGAAAGTGAAGGAAAATGAGGCAGCAGATATTTCCTGGGTTTCTGATTAAAGCTCTGCTGCAGATACAGGGGTTCCCAGGTGGGAGTAACTGCTGAACTCTTATTTTATTAATATCATTACTGTGGTTATTATTAATGAAATGAAGGATAATACCATGAGGAATATTATATTAGTATTTATATGTCATAATTATTTTCCACAACATACATAAGCCCTTTTTAGATGATAATTAATATAAAAACTACACAAAAGGTGGTTCCTTAAAGGTTCTTTAGTAAAGGGAATGGTCCTATTTAGAACCATGAGTACATTAAAACTATATAAAAAAAAAAAAATCACACATAAATGGTTCTTTATATGGAGATAGAGTTGTATTGTATTTTTGAAAATGGTTCTATATGGCACCAAAAAGGGTTCTTCTATCGTTACAAGCTTGACATTGTAACAACAGCAGAACCCTTTTAGTGCTATACAGAACCATTAACCATCCACCATATACAACAGATTCTCCATCAATTCTCTATCTAAAGAACCATGTCACCATGCAAAGAAACATTTGAGCATGGAAAGGGTTCTTTAAGTATTCGTGGTTCTATATAGAACTTGAGTAGTACAAGTAGAGTGTTTCATTTTTCAGGAGAGGAGATTAGATTTAAGATCATCCACCTGCTTAAAGTAAAGAAAATAAGTGAAAAAAAACAGGAGTTTAAAAAAATGGAGTTCAAATTATGAAAATCTCCAGAGAAAATGAGGCTCCTAACAACCACCTGGAAGAACCTGCCCCCATCAGATAAACAGCACTTAAAGCTTTCATCTCTGAGAGAGAGGAGAAAATCAAGCTGCTTCAGATCTGAAAACATCCACAGGTGTTTCTGTCCATCCTTCCACTGTGAGAAGACGACTCAGCGCTGTGGGTCTGAAAGGATGTGTAGCTGATCAAGAAGAACCTCACTGAGAAAAGGAGACGGACACATCAGACAAAGAAGCTGAACGATGGACTGACCACCCCAGAGTCCAGACCTCAACACCACTGAATGTGTTTGATTACTTCAGAAAATGATCAACCAACTTCTAAGACTGGCTTAGCAGCTGGTTGACGACGAGCTTCTAAGACTTTGGAGTGTCTGCAGATTCTTTGAGGAAGAATGGAAGCTGGTAATGAAGGTAAATCAAATGAATGAAGGGTCTCTGAGTGCTCATGTAAAGGCTGTGGATAACTTCTAACGTGAACTTCTACACATTCCACTGCATAATGCGAGCATTTTTCCGGAGAGGCTTCCTCTGTGAGGAGCCATTACCCAGCCCTATTTGCACCATCGCGTCCGGCCACTTAACCGTCATCAAGCCTCAAGATGTTGAACTCATTCACAAAAATGATCGTACCTTGTAAGTGCCATTTGGATACTTCATGAAGGACACTAGAAAGATATCCACTGGGAGGAGAGCGGAGGTGATCAGTGCGATGGCCAGAGCACATATCGCCGTGATGGTGGAGATGACCTCACTCTCCTGCCGACTCTGGTATTTCCGAATGTAGACCCAGCAGAAGGCCAGGATGACCTAGAAGGTGAGGATAAAAAGTTCTTTAATCTTATGAACAGAGCTGAAAGATTCATCATTTATAACAAAGTTACAATCTGAAAAAGGGAGATATTCAAACTGCACGATAGGGCTGGACGATTTAAATGCAATTTTCAGTTTTCCATTTTCATTTTCTTTAAATTAATTTCCAGAATATTGACTTTTCTGGTCTGAAATCATGGTTGTGATGTCACATATACAGAACATGGATACACTGTTGCTTCTGAATGGTCCAACTCATCTACAGGCAGTTCACAAGCCGTGTTATTAGGGTCATTTAAAAACACTTTATTTGGATGGTCCACTGTAGTTGCTCAGTCTATCTTCAACTAACATTCATCTAATTATCTATTAAATGCAACTGAACTTGAAGTAGCGTGTGGAAGATTCTATCAAATCTAACCCTAATCCTAATCCTAATCCTAACCACAATGTTGTTGATAATCAACCGAGTATCTCCAGAAAGTTTGTTAATAATTAGAAATTAGAATTAGAAAGTTTGTTAATATTAATAAGCAGCTGTAGAGCAAAACAAGGGACCATCTAAATAAAGTGTGACCATTAATTTTCCCCTATTTACAACTTGTTAAAACAACATTGTTACAGAAAACTACTCTTTCACACTGCTCGATCTAAAAACGATGCGTTGCTGCCTTTACAAGTTTAAGCTGGAGAAATTTAACCACTTTACACGGAGCTCGTGAACTGACTGACATGTACAACACAACCACAACTTACAGGCAGTCTGACACAGTTTGTTCAAGTCTCAAGCCAGAAAAAGTAGATTATATACAGATACATAGATATATAGATACAGAAGATGTATGCAAGACTTCTGTCAAATTACCCACTGACTCTACAGAGAAGATATAAAACATTGCATTTCTCTGAAAATGTTAATAAAAAAATTTCCATAATGTCTTTTCATTTTTAACATACTGAGATAAAAAAAAAACAACAATAAAATATAAAATGTGCCATAACTTTTGTGCAGATCACAATTTTGTTTTATTCCCCAACATGTTAAATTCAGTAAATAAACAGTTATGGTGTATTAAAATGTGCAGAAGTGTGTTCTCTGTAGAGGATGTGTTAAACTTTTGCAATCAAATTTACATGCAGAGCATTTTAAGCCAAAATAGTCCCCAAAGAAAACTTCTTATTTCAGATTTTCCACTATTTTCCATCATCAACATTCCATATAAACTCAGAAGACTCGTGTAGGTTCACTGGTGGTTCTGGATAGTAAATAAAATGTCTATATTTGTGTTGTAGTCATGGCGACCCCTGGTTCCTATCACCACCACTGTAAAGACATCATCAATATTACATGGGTGGAATTAGCCTTTAAGGATTTTTGAGGCCTGATACTTTCACACTTCCACTAAAGCTGTTTCTGGAGAGATACTTTAACTGGAGCATGACTCTGTTTACATCTCAAACACTGAATTTTGCAGAAATTAAAAAAAAAAATGGTGGACTTCTCCTTTAACAAGCAGTTCCTCTGTCCATTTGAATTTACTGTGGAGAGGAAAGCGTGCAGGCTGATGTATATCAATCATAATCGTTTTAATTCAGCAGCTCTTTGCTGGTTTTATATGATATAAATTGCTGAGTAAATTACCAGCCTGTGTTTATCCTGATGTTGTTGTTTATACAGCAGCCCGTATTCAGGGCAGCGTCTCAGATTAAAAGCTCTGATCCAGGATCAGTTCCAGCCATTAAAGTCACTGTGACTGTGAGAGGGATCTGATCCTGAGTCAGCACTCTGCTCTACGACGCTCTATAAATGTGGGCTCTAGTACGTAAAACACTTCCAGCGAATTAAAAGCAAAACCACTGAAGTGCATCAGTTCACGAGTGCAGCGAAAACAGACTTGCACACTTTGCATTTACGCAACCAAGATTTCCTGTTTTCTTCATTTTCAGAAATGAAAGCAGCAAAAGTTCAAGAAAGGATCCGAACTCTAACCCACGGCCGCTCTGCCAACACCAGCACTGCGCAGTGATAATACGGCATCAGCAATACGAATGTTAAAAATAATAATCATCATATGATTTTAAAAGAAATAATGATAATAAAATCACATGATTCATTTTACACCAAGACGACAAGAGCAGAAAAAACATCACCAGACAAACTGAAACAAATAATAACAGTTTGAAATATAATAATAAGAAAAAGAAGCTGTATTGTGTTTATTAGTGATACTTATATTCACTTATTTATTAAAAGTTTTAATTAGACTTAACTATATTAATCATAAGAGTAGAGAATTATGTGCATATTAAACTGCAATTATAAATAAATGCTTCATTATTATTATTATTATTATTATTATTACTGTTATTATTTCCTGTGGAGGGGGCCTTCATTACATTCTTGAAGCTGATACCTACACACTTACAAACGATGGTTCTTCAAGGGTCCTTTAGTAAAGGCAACAGTTCTATTTAGAGCAATGAGTTCTATGTAGAACCAGTTCATCATTGAATGGTTCTTTACATGGTGAAATGGTTCTGCAGACTGATGGAGAACGTGCTGTATATGGTTCTATGCAGAACCAGAATGAAAATGGTTTTATATAGCACCAAAAAGTTCTTCAAGAATTCTTTAGTAAAGCCAACAGTTCTATATAGAACCATGAGTTCTATATAGAACCATGAGTTCTATAATGAACAATTTCATGCTTAAATGGTTCTCTGCATGGTGAAGCGGTTCTGTAGGTTTATTGGAGAACGTGCTGTATATGGTTCTACACAGAAGCTTTTTGAGAATGGTTCTATATAGCACCAAAAAGGGTTACAAGCGGACATCGTAATACTAGCAGAACCCTTTCTGGTGCTATACAGAACCATTTTCAAGAAGCTGTGTACTGTAAAAACCTTACTGAAGTATCAGGATAATACACCTTGCCATATCGCCCACCTCAGGTTCTGTATGGTTCTATTCATGCTTAAACAGTTCTGGCGTGGTGCTATACAGAACCTTTTTGAAAACGGTTCTATATGAGGTTCTGCTATTGTTATGATGTCACTTTTTTCGGTGCTAAATAAATATATATTTGGTCAAACCGTCTTGCGTTTGTTCTTCTCTCTAGAAAATAAAGTTAATTCCGCGGGTTCCTCGGGGACAGAACGGTTCCGGACGGACCTGTTTCATTAAAACAGCAATTAAACGCTCGGAACAGATGAGGTGAAGATCAGCGAGGTCATATTCCAGGCACACACCCCATAAGTGACGAGGGCACTGCTAAAACCAGCTGCCTCTGATCAACGGATGCCATTTTCAGACAGGATCAATTAAGAGGCCTACATACTTAAGCCTCTGGCTGCCCGGGTTGCCAGATCACAGCACAAGGCTGTGCATGCAAACGAAGGCCGGCGGCAGCCTGCATGGCTAAATAGAGACTTCTGCTTTGGGCTGAGGGGGGAAAGTTCACACATTTAACTTCCCGTTTAAAATCTCAGCCCAACTAAGGCGAGAACAAGCAATTGGTATTGATCGCCGAAGCTGCCAGACTTCGTCTCAGCTGTTGTTTCATTAGGAGAAATGAATTAGTGGGAGGTCCACTGAAAATAGTTTGAAAACCAGGAATCAATGCTGTTTTAAAAGAAAGAGGAGGAGACATAAGCAGGCAAGCAAGTCCAAAATGAGCCAACAATGTGATATTTCCAAAATATCGCAATATCTGCGGTGGAGCACATTCAGCAAATCTCTGTTTACATCTTAAATCTATACTATATATCCAATATTTCTCATTATGCAACTGTTGTAAGAATATTATAAGATTAGTTAACCAATTTCTAGACATCCTTTATTTATTTAAGTTATTTTATCTTGTGAAAGTGTCCGATTATTGCACTCATTTGAAGTATTATTTCTTTAAATATGCAAAATGATCTTCATTATTTCTTGAAACGAGACATAATTACAGTTTCATACCATCATTTTTTAGAAACGAGTTAAATAATCTCATTAACGTCTTACAACAGTCTCATTATAGACTATATTTGATATATTGACTACATTTAAGATGTTTTTAGTACTAAATTTCCTGCAGCTTTTGTATTCAGAGGGTCAAACACTTGTACATTATAAACTAAATCACAAAACATTGTTATTTCACATACAGCACATGTATTTAAAAAAAGAAAAACATCAGACATTTGCTGTCCTGGTGTTTTACAGAGTGAACTCAAGGCGAAGCGGCTGAGTACGGAGCCCTTAAATCAGGCATGTCAAACTGGGGACCTTCTGGGCCAAAGAGATCAGTGGTTACCCTCATCTAACGCCCTGCATTCAGTGCATGAAGGCTTTGCTAATTAGCTGATGAGCCAAATCAGGTGTGAGCTGAAGCCTGCAGATTTTTGGCCTGCGGGGACTGGAGCCTGACACATGCCCCAAAACAACATAGTGATTCATTTTTAAAAAGCGTGGCTACTGAGACACAGATAACCATACTGAGGCTGCAATATACTATACTGAGTTACAATATACTATACCGAGGCCACAAATTACTGTACTGAGTTACAATATACTATACTGAGGCCACAAATTACTATACTGAGTTACAATATACTATACTGAGGCCACAAATTACTGTACTGAGTTACAATATACTATACTGAGTTACAATATACTATACTGAGTTACAATATACTATACTGAGGCCACAAATCACTGTACTGAGTTACAATATACTATACTGAGTTACAATATACTATACTGAGGCCACAAATCACTGTACTGAGTTACAATATACTATACTGAGTTACAATATACTATACTGAGTTACAATATACTATACCGAGGCCACAAATTACTGTACTGAGTTACAATATACTATACTGAGTTACAATATACTATACTGAGTTACAATATACTATACCGAGGCCACAAATTACTGTACTGAGTTACAATATACTATACTGAGTTACAATATACTATACTGAGTTACAATATACTATACTGAGTTACAATATACTATACTGAGGCCACAAATTACTATACTGAGTTACAATATACTATACTGAGTTACAATATACTATACCGAGGCCACAAATTACTGTACTGAGTTACAATATACTATACTGAGTTACAATATACTATACTGAGTTACAATATACTATACTGAGGCCACAAATTACTGTACTGAGTTACAATATACTATACTGAGTTACAATATACTATACTGAGTTACAATATACTATACTGAGGCCACAAATTACTATACTGAGTTACAATATACTATACTGAGTTACAATATACTATACCGAGGCCACAAATTACTGTACTGAGTTACAATATACTATACTGAGGCCACAAATCACTGTACTGAGTTACAATATACTATACTGAGGCCACAAATCACTGTACTGAGTTACAATATACTATACTGAGTTACAATATACTATACTGAGGCCACAAATTACTATACTGAGTTACAATATACTATACTGAGGCCACAAATTACTATACTGAGTTACAATATACTATACTGAGTTACAATATACTATACTGAGGCCACAAATTACTGTACTGAGTTACAATATACTATACCGAGGCCACAAATTACTATACTGAGATTACAGTTTACTATGTTGAGCACACAAATTACTATATTGAGTACACAGCACAAATTACTATATTGAGGCCACAGTTTACTATATTAGGGGCACAAGTTACTATATTGAGGCCATAATTTGTTACATTGAGAACACAAATTACTATACTGATGCCATAAGCAAAGTTTCTCATAACCCGTGGACCAACATATTAACTTGTTGCCATGAGGCCACAATTTACTATACTGAGTACACAAATTATTACATTGAGGTCACAAGTTCGTGGGCCGATATATTAACTTGTAGCCTCGATACAGTAATTCATAGTCTCAGTATATGAATTCGTGGCCCCGCCTTATTGAATAATACACCCCCCCGCCCCGTCGCTGTAGGGGCGAGACACAGGAGGGTCTTTACTCTCCGTCTACAGTCGGTCCGCTCTGCTCGGTCCGCTCTACAGTCGGTCCGCTCTGCTCGGTCCGCTCTACAGTCGGTCCGCTCTGCTCGGTCCGCTCTACAGTCGGTCCGCTCTGCTCGCTCTGCTCTGCTCTGCTCAGAGAGCTCAGTCAGCTCGGTTAGCTTAGCCACAGTGAACTGGGTTCACGGCTCGGTTTTCGGAGCCGCGGGGCGGGTTTATCTACACAGGGGGCTGAGGACCCCCTCAGTGAGGAGTTAGTCCGGGGTCTTACCAGCAGCACTGCGGTGAATATGGACCAGCCCAGCACGGACTCGGTCAGCAACGCCATCTTCACTGGACTGTGCTCACTTCCTGCAACAAACACTGCGCCGCTCACGTGACCCGCCTCACCGCCGAGGGTGACGGGAAAAAACACTGAACATCAGCAGAACACCAAAAAACAACATTAAAACACCAATAAACAACATTAAAACACCAATAAACAACATTAAAATACCAATAAACAACATTAAATAAAATACCAATAAACAACATTAAAATACCAATAAAGAACATTAAAATACCAATAAACAACATTAAAACACCAATAAACAACATTAAAATACCAATAAACAACATTAAAATACCAATAAACAACATTAAATAAAATACCAATAAACAACATTAAAACACCAATAAACAACATTAAATAAAATACCAATAAACAATATTAAAACACCAATAAATAACATTAAAATACCAAGAAATAACATTAAATAAAATACCAATGAACAATATTAAAACACCAATAAACAACATTAAAATACCAAGAAATAACATTAAATAAAATACCAATAAACAACATTAAAACACCAATAAACAACATTAAATAAAATACCAATAAACAACATTAAAACACCAATAAACAACATTAAAATACCAAGAAATTACATTAAATAAAATACCAATAAACAACATTAAAACACCAATAAATAACATTAAATAAAATACCAATAAACAACATTAAAACACCAATAAACAACATTAAAACACCAATAAACAACATTAAATAAAATACCAATAAACAGCATTAAAACACCAATAAACAACATTAAATAAAACACCAATAAACAACATTAAATAAAACACCAATAAACAACATTAGATAAAACACCGATAAACAACATTAAAATACCAATAAACAGCATTAAAACACCAATAAACAACATTAAATAAAACACCGATAAACAACATTAAAATACCAATAAACAACATTAAATAAAACACCAATAAACAACATTAAATAAAACACCGATAAACAACATTAAAACACCAATAAACAACATTAAATAAAACACCAATAAACAACATTAGATAAAATACCAATAAATAACATCAAATAAAACACCAATAAACAACATTAAAATACCAATAAACAACATTAAAATACCAATACACAACATTAAAATACCAATAAACAACATTAAAACACCAATAAACAACATTAAATAAAACACTAAGAAAAAACATTAAAACACCAATAAATGATAAATTAATAATGGCAATTCAATTCAAAAAATGATACAAAATAAAAACATTACCAGTACAAAGAATAAAAACAATGCTATTAATAAGTAAAAACAACATGGCTTTTTAAATACGACTCTCAAAGGAATAATAATAATAATAATAATAATAATAATAATAATAACAACAACAACAACACCAATACCAATACCAACAATACCAATAACAATAATAAATAATCTGATTTTTTATTATTATTATTTATTAATACTATTAAGGGTATTGAATGCTTTAGGATACTTAATACTCTTAATACTGAAATAGTGTGAAAAAAAAAAATAATAATAATATCACTTTATTCATTTGACATTGTAAAGACAAAAGATGAACAATTACAAGGGGAATTAAAATTCGATACAATTATCAATAATAATAATCATAATAATAATAATAAGCTGTGTTGTGTGTACTTCTTTAGTGATGAGAGTTGTGTAGACTGTACGGTATATTTATGTAATTTAAAGTTTCAATTAGAATGAACTAATTAATTGTAAGATTAGAGAACAGAAGACACACAATACTGAAACAGTTCGAGCTTCCTTCCTATGTAAGTGTTTATCAGTATATGTAGTTTAGTATACTGTAATATATACACTGTATATATACACATAAATTGATATTATTAAAAAAATATATTTTTTATTTATTTATTTATTATTATTATTATTATTATTACCTTAGCTTATAGCAGTCTTATCTTTCTCAGTACTGCTCTTACAGTGAAGGTCTAAAGGGAAACTCCAAATTTTCCCAAAATTTTTCATAATTTAATAACATGCAAACAAAGTCATTCAGGGCGGCTTCTCGTGAAACGTGCTGTTCCAGAGAAAATTGGTGAGTCATAATCGTTTACAGTGGTGGTGATAGGAACCAGACGTCTGAATGACTTTGTTCCCACTGCTATGAGATTTTAATCAGTCCTCTTTAAAGGAGTGGTCAGTCCATGCACAGTGCACACAGTCCTCAAACGCTTAATTCACTCTGTTGGGGTTTTATGCTTTGCACATTCTGACATCAAGAGCCTAAGCAGGCCTCCACAAAGGCTTTAATTCAGTTAAGACGACCTGATGCTCGCCCCATGTCTCTGATTTAAGTGCTAATCCATTCAGGTCCTTTGACTTTTGTGGCGGGGCAGCCAAGTGGGGCAGTGAGAGGATGTTTTGGCAGGAACCATCCATCTCTGATGGCTTTTGTTCCTTAGCCAAGCACTTCTGAAGTAATTCATTGATTTATTATATGTTTTCCGCCACGATGTGGATGGCAGCAATACGCAGACAGCTGGATCAATACATAAACAGATGGATGGACAGAAAGACGGGCCGAAGGACGAAAAGAGACAAACAAACAGAGAGGAGAAGAAGGAAAGGAAAGTACTTGAACGTTCTCTTGTCCTCACAGCCGTAACTCTGGACGACATCCTGTAACCAGATCAAACCTCCAAAAGGGCTCGGCTTGCCAAGTTCCAGGCCGAGTGACACAGACACCATTAAATCCTTCTTTTAATCAGCGCCACTTCTTCCTCGGACGCTTCAAGATCAATTACTGAATTCCGCGGGCCGGCCAATGGAGTGCAAGTAAAATTGTCAAGGCGCATTCGTAAAAATAAAGGTTCCATCACGGGTTCTTTGGAGTGACGCCATAGAACAACCACTTCTGTTCCCTGTGCTGTAAAAAAAACTGCTCAAACAACTGCACTATTGTACTAAACATACTATTATGATATTGTAACTGTACTGCAGTATGTTACAGGGTAACTCCACCAACTTTTCACACCAAATTTCTGCTGAATTAAGTGGTTAAGATGTAAACAGAGTGCTTCAGAGTGGTTTGGTGTGAAACGCTCTGTTCGAGAGAAACGTACAAGTCAGAGCTGTTCACAGTGGTGGTGATAGGAACCAGACGTCCACCTCTAAAAGCTCCCTCACAGAAAGTTCCTACATAAAATGGTTATGAATTCACTGCCTGATGACTGAGACACTGTTTTACGATAGTTTTGAGAAGATTTTGGGCTTTTGGCAGAAAAAAAAATATTCTTTCAGGTTTATTACCATCAACCTCACATATAAATGCACAAATTACTTTTTAAGTAGTTTTTGGCCTAATAATTTGGACCTCTACAGCTGTTTTTGGAGAAATATTTTTACTGTAGCATGATATTAGGCTACTATACCTACTTCTGACACCAATGAAGCATTTTTTCTCGATCCACACATCTTTCTTCAGCCTTGTTTATTGTGGTAACTGCCAGGCTTATTAAAGTTTTGAAATTTTAATTAGGTTTTATCAGATTTCTGCAGTTATCTGATTACTCAAATGGTCATGTAAACAGCACACTCCGATTTCTTAGATAGGAGTAAGGTTTAGAAATCTGATTAAGAAATCTGCTAAAGAGGCTGGATTTTATCTCAGTAATCAGATTTCTAAGTGCATGTGAACTCTTACTCTGATTTCTTTCGGACTTCTCAGCCTGCACATGTGTGAAAACAGATTGCGGTACCGGAAATAAGCGAGCAGCGTCGCCGAATACATGCTTGACAAAATGAAGGATTTAAATGTTCTTCATCTTCTAGATGATGTATGTTCATATTTTCAGGTAAAATGACATGTTGTTCTTTACACTCATGAAGTTTGAGTTTTATGTTGCATTTACGTCACGTTTTCTTCTGTGAGTTTATTGGCTGGTTGTAAAGCAGAAATCTGATTACTGTCTGACTCATGTAGACCTGGAGTTTCCCCGTTATCTGATTACCCAAGTGCATGTAAACATGTTGATCGGATTACTGACAAAATCGGACTTTCTGCAGTTATCGGAATTAATTATTAAGAGCATATCATTGTCTTTCATCCCCAAAAAAACATAGCAAAACACTGACTTAAACGGAAACAATGTGTTGCACAAGCTTTATCGCTATGGCAGCTGAGAAGGCCACTCCTGGAGCTCTTGTAGAAGGTTCTAGAGCCAGATGAAATGGGTGTAAACATGTTTAATACTTCAAAATTCTTCTAATGTCTTTAATAGTTGTGCACACCAAGCTGCAGCTGTCTATTTTGTCATGTCTCCCACTTTGGGGATGCTCGACTTCAGGCACGTCAAACTGGGGACCTTTCAGGCCAAAGTGCTGTGGAGATCACCTAAATTCAATTCATGAAGGTCTTGCTGATCAGCTGATGAGCTGAATCTGGTGTATTTAGGCAGTGAGCTGAAGTCTGCAGTGTTTTGGCCCGCAAGGCCTGGAGCCTGACGCATGCCCTCTCCTTGAAATCTTCCTGGGAAGTGATCCTGGTCTCATGAAGACTCCTTCATGTACGTCTTTGTCTTCCATGTCAGTTTGCCAACTCTTTCTTTACTTGACTTCCTAGCTGTTGTTACTGTGTTTGATCGTTTCCTCGTTTTGATTCTTGCTCAGCCTTTGTGCTTTTTTGATTATGGATCTGCTTCTTCCTTAATCTGCCTGTGCTTCGAGCTCTGCTTGTTTTGAGCTGCCCAAATAAGGCCACTCCACACTTGCAACCTACACACCTCCTACTATAAGGATTTGCAGACTCAAGACTGGAAAAGGGGGTTAAACAGCAAGCAAGTATGCGATATGGGCTTCCTTCCTGAGCATGTCCTTCCCCCAATCTGTATTAATATGTGGGAGAGGGAAGCGTGGGAGAGGGAGGGGTGTGGCTAAAACAATGCCCCACCCACAGACTAAAACTCTAGCTGTGTCTAAAATGGTCCCCTAATCACTGCCTCCTTCACCTGGATCACTATATAGAGCACCATTACAGGGAACAGAATTTGTGATGCTAGTGAATGATTTCGGACACTAGCGTAATACAGGTTTGCTCGTTACCTATAAACAATGCAGTGCATTATGGGTATCCCATATCCACTAGGGTACATTGGTTGTACACTGCTTATTGCGGTGCATTGTGGGATTGTTTGAGTACACTGGATCTTCTGCCCTATGGTTTTGGACACCACGACAAAATGGTGGAAACCCCAAATAGTGAATAGTGTTATTATATTATAGTGATGTACCATTTTCCCAAGTGTAAATTGAGGGGTTGGTGTTTGGGACAGACTCCTCACGATATAAAATACCCTATAAACGATGACTGTGTGTACATTTAGATTATTACTATCTCTATTAATGTATTATTCTATCTATCTAATTAAAGATCTGAACATGTTGTGATTTTTGTAGTTTTTTTTTTACTGTTGAAACACGTTTTGAGCTATTTCGGTAGAAAAGTCCACTCACAAAACACATTATGCAATTTTGCTGAAGCAAAAAAACAGCAATAATAAATAAACAGCTGATATATGACTTACAGGTATGTTCTCCATATTAAATGCTTACAGAGAGCCAATTACACCAAACCGACAGCTGGAACATTCCGGTAATCTTTCATTTCAATCCTTTGTTTTTACTTTATGAGTTGCTAATGCCCAAATCTCTTATTTCTGAAGTGCTGAAGTCCTTAAGAAGTCTTCTGCTGGTGGCGCTCTGCTTGGAGAAGCCGTCTGTCATCCTTCCTGAGCATTATCTCGCTGAGGACATTATTAACGCACACCTTTCCCACTTGTAATTATCCTCATTAAATCTTGACGGCGCTTCTTCTCCTGGCGAGAGCCGACGCATTTGGAAGAGATAAAAAAATTAATTAGGAATAAAAAACGAGAACGGTCCGATTATGTAGAATGAATGTCAATGAAAGGACTTGCTGAGCTGGTCACTCTGGGAAGATGACACCATAAAGAAAAGCTCAATTTACAGATTCACCACGAGACGGAGGAGAAAAGATGTGGGTGCAAAAAAATGATATCTTGTCAATGAAATCATCTTAAATCTCGTTAAAATATCTACTAGTTCAGTCTCACTTTATTTTGGTAGTCCACTACAGTTGACACTCAGTGGATTCTAAACAGTGGTGGAGATTTGGAACAGGGTTAGGGCTCGGACCAGGGTGAGGGTTGGGTTTGGGTTCTGGGTTGAGATTAAGGTCAGGGTCAGGATTTGGACCAGGGTTAGTGCTAGGACCAAGGTGAGGGTTGGGTTTGGTTTCTGGGTTGAGGATAAGGTCAGGGTTAGGATTTGGACCAGGGTTAGGGCTCAGACCAGGGTGAGGTTTGGGTTTAGGTTTTGGGTTGAGATTAACGTCAGGGTTAGGATTTGGACCAGGGTTAGTGCTAGGACCAAGGTGAGGGTTGGGTTTAGGTTTTGGGATAAGGTTAAGGTTAGAGTTAGGATTTGGACCAGGGTTAGTGCTAGGACCAGGGTGGGAATTAGATTTAGGTTTTGGGTTGAGGTTAAGGTTAGGGTTAGGATTTGGACCAGGGTTAGTGCTAGGACCAGGGTGAGGGCTGGATTTAGGGTCTGGGTTGAGGTCAAGGTCAGGGTTAGGATTTGGACCAGGCTTAGGGCTAGGTCCAGGGTGAGGGTTGGGTTTGGGTTCTGGGTTGGGGTTAAGGTCAGGGTTAGGATTTGGACAAGGGTTAGGGTTGCGTTTAGGTTCTGGGTTGAGATTAAGGTCAGGGTCAGGATTTGGACCAGGGTTGGGGTTGGGTTTGGGTTCTGGGTTGAAGTTAAGGTTAGAGTTAGGATTTGGACCAGGGTGAGGGTTGGGTTTAGGTTCTGGGTTGAGGTCAGGGTTAGGATTTGGACCAGGGTGAGGGTTGGGTTTAGGTTTTGGGTTGAGGTTAAGGTTAGGTTTATGATTAGAGCAGTTTTAGAGTTAAAGAAAATTATGGCCAATTTAGTAGATATTTAGTTGAATGTAATTTAAAAGTAAATTAAGTATCTACAAAATGGACTATCCAAATAAAGTGTGGCCAATATTTCTAATTTTGAGATGGTTCTAGGAATATTAAAACATTAGTTAACTTATTTCTAGATATTTATCACTTCTTTTAAGTGATTTATTAGGTAAAATGATTTCACTGTACCGGCAGATAATGTTGATTTTTTCATGCACATTTTTAAAACAAGCAAAGTTCCCTGCCGGTACGGTGAGACAAGTTTACTTGATTAAAATCACTTAAAACAAATAAAACATATTTAGCAATAAGTTAAATAATCTTATAGTTTTCCTACAACCATCTCAAAATATTAGATATTTCAACTAAAACTCTTAGAAAGGGTGGTTCTTTAAGGGTTCTTGCAGAGTTGTACACAGAATCATCTATACACTCATGAAAAGATGGTTCTTCAGGGGTTCTTTAATGAAGGAAATGCTTCTTTATAAAACCATGAACACTCAAAGAACCCTTTACATGATTAAAGGGTTCTTCGCATGGTGAAAGCATTCTTGAGAATGTGCTGTACATGGTTCTATAAAGAACCTTTTCAAAAACAGGTCTATGTAGCACCAAAAATGGTTTTTCTATTGTATCAAAAAGGTTCTATATAGAACCATATACAACACATTCTCCGCTAATCTAAGAACATTTCACCATGTAAAGAACTATTTAAGCATGCAAAGGGTTATTTGAGCATTCCTGGTTCTGTATAGAACCTTCTTTTTCACCAAGGAGAAACTTTGAAGAACCATCCTTTTCAAGAGTGTATGCTTAAATGGTTCTCTGCATGGTAAAATGGTTCTTTAGATTGATGAAGAATGTGCTGTATATGGTATGGTATATTTTGAAAAAGGTTCTATGCAGAACCATGCGCTATATAGAACTCATGGTTCTAAATATAACCGTTGCCTTTCTCAAAGAACCCTTGAAGAGCCATCTTTTTTACAAGTGTTAATCAAAATATCTAATATTTCAAATTTTGGACGGTTGTAGAAAAATTATAGGATTATTTAACTTATTTCTAGACATTTTTCATTTATTTTAAGTGATTTTATGAAGTAATTGAGCTCACTGTACTGGCAGATAATGCTACTTATTTCAAGCACATTTTTCACAACAGGCGTAACTATAAACATTTTATACATTAAATGATTTAAAACAATAAAAAATGTCTAGAAATAAGTTAAATAATCTTATAATAAGCTAACAACAGTCTAACCTTGAGAAATAGTAGATATATTGGCTCGATTTATGATGACTTCACTTGCTGAGGTGTGATGGTTTGCAGTGTGTGGATAAAAGCTTGTCTGTGTCTTATTTCAGAGATGAAGGCCTGATTCAGCACAGGCTTGAGAAGCTGTGGTTGAGGAGCAGTTATGACTCGGCGCACATGACTGAGGAGTCACTGATGAGGGCCAATAGAGTCACTCCCCCTCATCGTCCCTGAGAAAGAGGCTGATGAGCACAGATCACTGAATGGACTTCACCTTCAGATGAATTGAAGCCAGGCGCATGTCAGCGTGCTCCTCACAGCCACCGTGGGGTATAAACAGATGACCCGTGTGGTACGGTGTCCTGGGAAGCGCTCACTGAGCCCAGATTGTTTCGAATCCATTAAGCAGCTCTTTATAAGGAAGCACATTCCGCAGATTTGGCATCCTCCAAACCTCTGTCACAAGGTTCCCTCATTTTTAAACAGCAACTCCACCAATTTTTTCACAATTTCTCCATAACTCAGTGTGTGAGAGAGTGGTTTGGTGAGAAATGGTTCAGATGTCTTTACAGGGGTGGTGATAGGAACCAGGGGTCGCCATGACTACAACACAAATATAGACATTTTATTTACTATCCAGAACCACCAGTGAACCTACACGAGTCTTCTGAGTTTGTATGGAATGTTGATGATGGAAAATAGTGGAAAATCTGAAATAATAAGTTTTCTTTGGGGACTATTTTGCCTCACAACACCCTGCATGTTATGTATCCCTCCACCATGAATGGAGTTTAAGTTCTCAAAACTATCATAAAACAGTGTCTCAGTCATCAGGCAGTGAATTCATAACCATTTCATGTAGTAACTTTCTGTGAGGGAGCTTTTAGAGGTGGACGTCTGGTTCCTATCATCACCATCATCAGATATTCCTATCATAAACTCAGAAGACTCGTGTAGGTTCACTGGTGGTTCTGGATAGTAAATAAAATGTCTATATCTGTGTTGTAGTCATGGCGACCCCTGGTTCCTATCACCACCACTGTAAAGACATCAGAACCATTTCACACCAAACTACTCTGAGTCACTCTGATTACACCTCACTGATTGAAAAAAGATAGACCACGGCTAAAGACAATTTATTAGACCTAACTTTGACCTTACCCAGCGCAGTGAATGGATCTGAAGTGTGGTGAACTGTTTCCTGCAGGATTAGCTCCCTCGCTGAGATAGTCTGCAAGGTATGGAAAGTGTATTAATCCATATCTTTCTGGTTACAGAAAGAAAAAGTGATATATATAGAGAGATTTATGAGGTACTTTGAATAGCTACAGAACAATATGGGGTCTTCTAATACTGTCTCCTGCATTGTTTGACCTCTGGAACAATAAACTATGACCTATTCTTAAGTACACACTGCTGCAGTGCACACTGTTTTCCTATAAGGACATCACAGCTGACCTAATGTGGTTTTCCCTCTAGGGAATTGACTCAGTTTCCAATTTCCTGTAAATCTGAAACACAGCAAAACTGAAGTCATGACTCTTTCATTCGAGGGTTATTGCTTTTATCAATGCTAAACAGCATAAAAAGCAGTGTGTATCTGGGAAAGCTTGGTAATGTTGTATTACATACTGGATACTTTATGTTGTGAGATGTTTATACAATCACTGGCCACTTTATTAGGTGCACCTTTACACTCATTGCCACTCATTGCGACAGCAAATGTCTAGGGGTGAATTAAGGTCATATATAAAAAGTATGCCAACACCAACCAGCTGCCAGACCAAGACACTACAAACTACAAATAATGGACCAATTATCAGCACTTATTTCTTTTAACTTGTTCAAGTTAAAGGCACCATCTTGTAGGAAAAAGTACTTAGCCTGTAAATCTAGCTTTAAACTGGTCAAGTGCATATGTGATCTTATTTAAGAGGGGGCAACTGGAACACTGGAACAGCCCTTCCCTTTCTGCAGTGCATCTCTGCCCCATAAGTAGCTGGAGCGCCCCCTGCTGTACCCAATCAGAGTCCTCCAGACATTAACCCTATGGGTGATGAACGAGAAAGAGAGACCATAAAACAAAACACCACACACCCCCAGGATCGTAACAACAATACGCCCAGAAGTGTCGTGACAGTGAATTCAGTTACTTTAAGGTGCATCCATTGCTGACAACCGTGCACACATTGCTTGTATAATCTCCATAGAAAAGCATTGACCAACGGAATGGGACGCTCTGGAGCAACTAAAGCCACCATGCCCAATGCCCAGGGCTAGAGGGGTATAAAGCCCCACAGCATTGGGCTGTGGAGCAGTGGAACTGTGTTCTCTGGAGTGATGGAGCTCCATCCAGTACCTTTGGGATGAGTCTAAAAGCCTTTCCAGAGGCTGTTACTGCAGCACAAACTCACTATTAGCACCTTCATTTCAAATGAAACATTGCATTAGCAGGTGTCCACAAACTTTTGGACACATAGTGTATCCCCCTAGTGATGTATACACTTTTTTACTTTCACTCAACTCCAATGGTAAGAAGAGCCATTTTGTCCTTTCAACAAAAATCAAACCACCTTGGGAGCCACAACATTTTATGTCTATTTTATTGAAGTAATGTTTCACCATCTTGGCTGTAAATATGTCTCAGTATGTGCTGATCTATTAGTATAGAATAAAAATATAATGTAAATGAATACGCAGACAAAAATACAGACTTACTTTGCTCTGCTTTAAGCTTGCAGGAAACTTTTCCTCAAAAGTAGAACAGTTTCTGTAAAATGTCTCTCAATGTTTGATTTTTTTGCTTTTACCTACAAATTTGCTTTTATTTTGCTTTTACCTACAAATCTAATTCTGCTGTAGAGCCGCAGCAGGGCAGTAAAAGAGCCGCATGTTGCCGACCCCTGACTATTTTTAATACAAAAACCAACACAAATGTCTAAAACAAACCCCATGTACAAAACTACAAATATAGGATATGGGCTCTTTAAATAATCTTTAACCTGTTAACTGTGGCCTCATTTGTTCCTGAAGCGGCGTTTCTAAAGTAAAGGGGGCGCTGTTCCCTCACACGCTGGGCTATAGTCATGATCTCGGTCTTGTTTGAGAGGAAACACTCTCAACAGTCAGAATAACCATCTGAATTACTGACTCAGAGTAACAGAGTCTAGAACGGAGGACTTTATTTCCTCCTGACTCACAGATCTCTAAACTGATCTCTGACTCTTGCCGTGTTATCAGACCACCTGTTGTGGATTATGGTGTCTCTGTGGAGGCGGTGAGGCTCTGAAGGTGAGGACACACAGGTTTGTTAGCGTTTGCTCATTCGGTGCCGATCCTGTAAATGAGGCGATCGCAACTGCTGTGAGTAACGGATCATAAAATGGTTTGTGAGAATCAAATCCTGAGATTTCAAGCTTTCTAACGGTGCATTGCATCAGCATATTGCTGAACACTTTGATGCATAAAAATGATGTATAAAAAATGCTGTGAACGCTTAAATGGAAGTCTGCTGGTACCAGTACAGCGATCTAGATAAGGTTAATGTTCTTTCACCTATCTGAAAATAGAAAGGACTAGATTATAAGATGATTACTCTTGCCTTGAAAGCATTTTTTGTTCAGTGTAGATGGTTGTGCTACTCAGGAGCCTTCCAGGAGCCAAGGAGGAATCTTATTAAATAAAATTATCTTAAATATCGTCACTGTTCAAAGAGAACCATGTATCTCCATTTTTTTTTATTTTATTTTTTTGCCTCATTTCAACACTCCAGCTGGCCTTTACATTGTGTGCACATGTAATGATGAATGGATCAATAGAAATGCTCTAAATCACTTGAAATAAAAACCTCTTTACATTGACTTACATTGAAAGGTAAGAGTGTTTTTGCCTTCTCCTGTAAAGTTACCATTTTGGAGATACTTGTTTTTATTTGGACAGCAACGACAGTCAATAAATTCAAAACTTCTCATGTTGAGATTGTTGTAAGCTTAATTTAAGATTGTTTTCCTTATTTCTTTACTTGTTTCAAGTAATTTTAATCAAGTAAAATTATCTCACTACATTAGCAGATAATTTTGCTTGTTTTAAGAAATGTGCCTGAAACCTGCAAAACTATCTGCCAGTATAGTGAAATAATCTTACTTAATAAAATTATTCAAAACAAGAGAAAAATGTCTAGAAATAAGACAGATAATCATATAATAAGCGCACAATCATCTCATAATGGTAAATATTAGACATATTGAGTAGATTTAACATATTTTTATTAGACAAGATACCATTTTTTGCTCAGAGCAGAATTTAAAATGCGCTTCCAGGGGGCGCCATTGCTGTCTTTTGCCCAGAACCCCAGAACCACCAACTCTGCCCCTGGGTGGACCTACAGGGTAGTTTCTAAAGAAAGGATTGGTAAGTTTATAATACAGTCAGTCTATCTATCTTCCAAGCCTGTCCAACAAGAAGTGCACCATCAGCAACTACAACCAATTATAAGTTTGTGAATTTGTTTAGCAGCAAAGGAGTAAATTCAGATGTATTATTTCTCAAATAGAGCCTTTTTCTTGCGGATTCATGGTTATACGTCTGAATTTAATCAGTTTGGAGTGATACTGTGCACCGAAAAAACATTCGTCAGCTGCTTTCCAGAACGCCTCGTGCTGCGCTTATTACTTCTTACACCTTCAAACAAGAACAGAATATATTTAAGCCAATTATGGATTGTTTTCTCTGTTACTGAGCTTATTATTGATCTGTAAAACTGTACTTTGAGAAGAAACACCGTCTCACGTCCGGGTTGAGGAGCTGAGGAGTCAATAGCTGAGGATCCAGTGGTCTCCGAAGAGACTAATGATGTCCATTGTTTCAGACAGGCCCTGTTGAGAGCCCGAATCCTGTTAATACTCCCATCAATATTAGATTTCGCATGGTGCAGCTCAACACTGACAAGCAACAGGAGCTGGCTTCTTCGCCGTGGACACAGTCTGGTTGAGATAAAGCAGATTTCCCAAACTTCACACTTCTTAGCTCACACTTCTTATCTAAACAAGTAAAAAAACATCCTCCATGTAGTTAATAATTTGAATATTTCTCATTACGAAACTGTTGTAAGCATATTATAAGATTATTCAACCTGTTTCTGTACATTTTTACAGTTTCAACCCCTTAAATGGCCAGAGCCCACCTTTGGACCCAAAGTTTTATTACACACTTCTACAGTCTAAGAATAGCTCAGCCAGTTTGCATTGAAGTCCCTAAATAAAAAGCCTTAGTATGTAATAAGTCTGGGATTTTAAGGGGCTGAGTCTGTTTACCAGTAGAGAAAGTGTCTTACACCATGTGGAAAAAAATTCAAAATGTATTTCGCAATGTTTGAAAATTTCATATTGCATTTATTCGTATTTGTTATATTTTTTTAATTGTGTGTACTTTAAACAGAGGCTACAGATAAAACTAAACAGTACTGACTTCTGTTAGACAGGATTTTATTTTCATACATTTTCAAAAGAATTTGAGAAACACATTTACATACATTTATTTTTGTATGGTACATTTCTGTGTGTAGTATTTCCCCATACATTCAGTCAAACATTCCTTCAACTACTCCGCTTCACCTTCCTACAAATCCCAAATAAGAAAACACTGGTGAATTTCAGAACCTTCGTCAAAACTGCGTAAGTGGGTTTTAAACAGAAATTTCTTCTTAAGAACGATTGGTGAAATAGACCCGATGTTTAAAACAAGTCAAATGATCTGCCAATGGAAACTTTTCAGTAAATAAAATGACTGAAAACTAGTAAAATCGTACAGAAACAGGTTAAATAATCTTATGATATTCTTACAGCAGTCTCATAATGAGAAATAGCAGCTTTGTTGACTAGATCACTGTTTGCAGGGTGTGCGCTGCCCACCGGCGGTAACCGGATGGGGCTTTTTAGTGTCGCCGGCCTGCAGTTGTTTGCCATATCCATTAATACAGTTTTGACTCATGAAAATGGAACAACAGAGGCAGACGCATTGCTTTTGTTTGGGAAGCACTTTAGAAAGACAAAGTGGGCTTTTCTGCTGAATGCCATATGCTTAGTGGCGTGGAGCGATGAAGCTCGCGTCCTGCGGTTTATTGAAATAACTCGCACCTGACAGGCCTTTTCAATTCTGAAAGTTAAGAATCTCCTGATTGAAAATAATGCAAACAGGTGCGGAGGAGCAGGTGCTCCAGCCTGATACGCTGACGCATTTGAAGATTTGTTTGCTTTTGGGCATGGCAGTAGAGAAAGTGCTGTCTGAGGACCAAAAAGAGGAGAAACTGGGACAGTGTTCGAGGATGAACCGCCGAGTTACGCTTTAATCCCCACCAAAACACCTGCTGCGCTCTGCGTGTTTAAGCATCTTACGAGGGTCAGAGGTCATGCAAATGTGCATGTCTGAACAAACGTGGTCCTGCAGTGCAAAAAATTATGGAAAACATCTTAAATCTCATCAATATATCTAATATTTCTCTTCATTAGGCTGTTGTAATTGATGTTATAAGATTATTTAGCCTGTTTCTACACATTTTTACTTATTTTAAACCATTTTATCAGGTGAAAAAGTCCATTGTTTTCAGAAATAATGCAGATAATTTTGCTTACTGCAAGAAATAATATGTGAAATAACTTTCACTAGACAAAATGACTTACAACAAGTAAAGATGTACAGAAAGAGGTTAAACGA